CCACCCCCCATAACCCTCAGTACAAACCTCTCATTTAGCTAAGAAACAGAAAATAAAAAAATTTTTCTCTACTTTACGACTGACTACAACCATAAAGACATTTGGATTCTAAAGAGTGAACATGCACAAAAGAGAGTATCTGGAAGCTTCTAAGCAAACTACTGCTAGGATCTACCTCTCAAGAATACAAAGTAGATTATTTGTTAATTATATCTCAGCAGAGCTTGGCGGAAAAAAGAATATAAAGTAGAACCTATATGTTTTAATTAGGCCTGTGGCAAAGATTGAAATTGCAAGGGCGCCTGGGTGTCTCAGTCCGTTGAGGGTTGGACTCTTTCCAGGATCGTGGGCTCCTCGCTGAGCAGGGAACCTGCTTGAGATTCTCTCTGTCTCCCTCTGTCCCTCTCCACTGCTCGCTCAGGCTCTCTCTCTAAAATAAATATTAAAAAAAATACTTTGTAAAAAATGTTTGAAATTTTGAAAACAGGTAAGTGTTGCTTTTGAAATTTACAGAAAACAAGAAAAAATGATCTCAATATAAATGTGATGAAACTGCAAGTTATAAAGGATCATTTATTGCAAGATGCTATTTTTTTTTTTATAAAACTAGACTTGGGGCGCCTGGGTGGCGCAGTCGGTTAAGCGTCCGACTTCAGCCAGGTCACGATCTCGCGGTCCGTGAGTTCGAGCCCCGCGTCGGGCTCTGGGCTGATGGCTCAGAGCCTGGAGCCTGTTTCCGATTCTGTGTCTCCCTCTCTCTCTGCCCCTCGCCCGTTCATGCTCTGTCTCTCTCTGTCCCAAAAATAAATAAATGTTGAAAAAAAAAATTAAAAAAAAAAAAGAATATAGGCATTAATTTTCCAGGTGTTAAGCGTCTTATGAACTGAACATTTCTTCATTGAGATCCTAATATTTTTAGTGAATGTGGCAGTCCACAAACGCTTTGCCAATGTTTTATTTACTAAAACTCATGTATTGCTCAGAAAAAAACTAAAATTTTCCATGAAAATATGATCCAAACTACAACAAATAAATCTCATTTTAATGTAAACTTATTGTTGTGTATGAAGCTAAAAATCCTGTTTCTATGTGTACATTGAAAGGAGTGCATGAGGATATGGAAACTGAGTGTTTTTTTTTTTTTTAAGTTTTATTCATTTATTTTGAGAGAGAGAAAGAGCATAAGTGGGGAAGTGGCAGAGAGAGAGACAGAGAGAGAGAGAATTCCAAGCAGGCTGCAAGCTCTGCACCCAGCCTGACATGGGGGTGAGATCATGAGCTCATTACCTGAGCCGAAATCAAGAGTCTGAGGCTTAACTGACTGAGCCACCCAGGTATCCCTGTAAACTGAGTTTTTATGTGTGTGCTGGAACAAAATCCAAATGTTTATCAGTGGTAGGAACAGGTACTGTTTATGACAGTACTTTACTCTGGATCAGGATGCAGCTATTTTCTGAATCCTTTGCAAGCACCATGCCTTAGTCACTTATGAGAAAATGCTATATAACTGATCCCTAACACATAATCACTGACATGCACATATATAGTAAGGTCATAGGAATCCACTCAATGTCATGTAATAACATAAGAATGTGCCTGAGTTGCAATGTGAAATGATGAAAGCCTGAGGCTAAATCATGTCCCCTCTGACTTGCATTTATACCTAGTTGAGTATGTGTATCATTCCAGGTGTAGTATGCAGTCTTGAGAACCATCTAGATACTTATCTTAGGGTTCCAGACGAAGAATTGCTTCTCTCTAAATACACCAAGGACTAATGCCCTTGCTGGAAAATTCCTAGGGAATTTGGGAAGTGAGCCAGGTCAAGAACCACGTGTATTGGTGCCTAGATTTGCTCTTCTCAAAGCCCTTAGGTGCAACCATTTTCTCCCCCTTAGGCCTGGATCCCTGAGGTTTGCTCCCTGATATCCGAAGACAATTTGGTACCAAAAGAAAACGCTGGAGATCTAGTGCTTAGTGAAGAAAAAGTAGAAAGGCAACACTAGGTAAGTGGAAATTGAGTTCTTGGACGGAAAAGATGCCTGATGAGAGTGTAGGTTTAGGTCCCAGTGTGATTACAGATGGAAATCAAAAGCAAAATCACGAGAGTGTGAGCAAGGTTCTTCAAACTGGGCAAGAAGCAAGGAAGCCATATTTCCTGCCGCCTTTGTCTGAGGTCACATTTTTTTTCACGCCGGACGGGCGGGAGAAGAGGGCATGTGGGCAGTGTTTGGATAGGATTTCTGGAGCAACACTGCCATCGTGAGGAAATTGCTGGAAAAAGCCCCAAGGTTTCTTTTCTGAAAAGACTTTTACTTTGGAAAGGTCCATTCCGGTGGGGAGGCTGATGGGCCGGGCCCCTAGCCTGAGCTCAGTGCCTCCTCCAGAGGCCTACCTGGAGCTCTGGATAAAGGTGGGGTCCAGGTGTAGGTGGTGGTCGGTGGGGAGGCAAGACTGCCAGTAGCCGCCAGGAAGTCAGGGCACAGGAAGTCGTGGGGTGGGGTCTGGGTATTCGCCCACTGTGGGCGGGACCAGAGGAAACCACTAACAGACAAAGTACTCGGCCTGCGGGTCTCTCTCCCAGCCCCTCTGAGCACGTGGTGTTCCCATGCTCTCGGACCTGGGCCCTATGTGGTAGGAGAGTCTGAGCGCTGAGGACACGACAATTCCTGGTGGCTTATAGCAGGAGCAGATGGGCTTGCTGGAGGTCTCAGGTGCACCCAAATGGGAGCTGGGAGAGCCTGAAGACAAATGGGACTATCCAGCCAAGCCAAGAATGGTTACACTTCTGTTACAAGATCAGACTTTGCACAAACTGATGGGAACCAAAAACAAATGAAGAGGATTGAAGAGGAACCCACATTTCAAAAGTCCTTGTCTGCTGGAGGTGGCATTACCTGTGACCTCGCCTCACTTCTTCGTACATGGCTGTTGTAGCAGGTACATTGTAAAGAAGCATGATTGTTTCTAGAAATGCAAAAACAGGTGGCAAAATTGTAAAACATGTGGACATTCCAAAGAATATTTGATGATGTTTTTAAAAGCCTTCAAGCTACAAGGTAGGAAAACTTGTTTTAATGCTTAAAGTTAAGAGGGATTTGAACATTATTTTTAAAAAGTACATATATGTGCAAAGTGAAGAGATAAGAATGCATGACAAGGTTTTTTTTTAAAGTGTTTTCTTTCTTCTAATTGAAGTACCATTTGTTTTCTACTATGTAATTTCTCAAAATTTGAATGCTTTGCCGGCACCAAGTATAACTTTTGTAATTTCTTGGAGCAGAAAGGTCTTCTAGGGTAAACATAAAAACATTTTCAAGCACTCAAAAATACATATTGATAGGCAGGTATGCAAACGGTATAATGTAGTGCTTAAGACTGCAAAACTGCACCCAGTATCCGTTCAATCATGTTTAAAGAGAAGCATACCTGTGTAACGTTTATTTATATATACATATATATGCATGTATTTATATATAATAAATGTGTATATATGTAAACATTTTTTAAAGCAGGGTATTCACAACAATGATCAGTGTTACAGTGAGCATGCTTTTCAACATGAAATTCTCAGGCAACATTTATATCCATATTTACATTTGTATAAAAGAAGACATTAGTGAAAAATTATTGCTGCATGGAAGGGTGTGAATGTATCCATTAGGGTTTTCTTAGGATACATATCTGGGTGACTGAATTTGAGAGATAACCAATTTCAACCTTCATTTACTGCATTGGGTTTTTCTTTACAGTTTTTAAAGAAAATTTTAAGATGAAAAATTTGGTGTGAATTTTGAGAAGTATGAAAAAAGAAACCCTAGTGTTCTGGGAAATGAGTATTTAGTGTCTGTTCCAATATTAGTTTTAGAGCATATGTAGGTCATCATATTAATGATTAGGTAAGGCAAGTCTCAAAATAAGATTCCTGAGTGGTGGCATTGTAGGCATTTTATGTCCTATGAGTAAAAACAGGTTAAGTGAGAACCTAATTAATATTCTTTAATGAGTCAATCAGGTAGTTCTGTGCAAATGTTTATTGTCTAAAATCAAGGTCTTGCACATGTTTCATGATAATTTCAAACTACCCAGGAATCAGAAGTGAAAATTTTGAATCTAAAAACATGATGCCTACATCAATCCAATTTAAATGTAAATTCATTGTAGTTTATTACATAATTACAGAATTATGTGTGTGTGTTGAAAGAATGGAAGTAAACGTGTGAAAGGTTATCAGTGCTCAGTACAAGATTTTATGATTGCACTTTTACTCATGGCATGTGTTAGTTATGTATGAGAGAACACTACAAGATTGATCCCTAACAATTAATGGCATGTACATAATAATAGTAATAATAATAATAATAATAATAATAATAATAAAATCATAGGAGGCCATTGAAGGTCAAATAATCACATGCATTGGAACATGGTTGTGTTCCACTGTTAAATGATGAAACCATGAGACAAAATTATGTCCCTTTTGATTGGAATTTATGTATGTTCGGCTATATGTATCACTCCAAGTGGGACATTGTATGAAATTCAGACTTGAGAGTGCTCTGGATCCTACTCTTAGGGTTCCAGCCAAATGGCTGCCTCCTACTCCACACACAAAGCCTGGTGCCCTCTCAGAAAATGGAGGAGGACTCCCAGGGAACCTGGCAGTGAAAGAAGTCAAGAGGCCTGGTGCCTAGATTTGCTCTTCTCCAGTCCTTATTCCCGTGATTTTCTTACTCTCTTAGCCCTGGATCCCTAAGAATTGCTCACTGAAGCAAAAAACATGGCAAGATGTTGGGGGTCAAAGCTGAGTGAAGAGCAGACCTACAAAGCCTTGGTGGAATAATTCTTGAAAACATGGCTGATGAGGGTAGGTGCTTTATGCCTCTGATGTTTGAGGGAAACTAGGAACTAAAGTTCATCTGTTTGAGCAGATTTCCCCCAAACTGGGCAAATGGCTAGGCAACTAAGTTTCCTGACTCCTTTGTCTCCTGATGGCTTTTTAAATATTGAATGGGTGGGAGTGGAGGGCCCAGGGAGCTGGGTTAATTGGCTTTTCTATAGCAATACTGCCACCAAGAGGTTATGTTAAAAAAAAGTGTTGTTAGGACTGGTGTGAGGCCTAGCAGTTGAGAAGGGTTTGGCCTTTTAAGAGGTTGAGTGGACTCTGGCCTTGAACTGGGCCTCCTCTTCAAATCTGAAGCAGCTGGGTGTAATTGTCCTTGAGGCTGTTCTTGATGAAAGGCAGCCAGGGGGGATTTGGAGACATTTGCGAAAACATGCCTCAATGGTCAGGAACCCTATGAAGATGTAAGGTGACCTCTGACTTCAACTCAGCAGATAGGAGATAAATCCTGCATCGGATGACTAAGCTGCCTATTTGGAGTAATATGGAGTTGACCATATGTTAGACTGGGAAAGCTAGATGTGTGAAGACAGTACTCCATATCTGAATTGTCAGTGACAGAAGGAGTAGCCGTAGCCCTGGGATTCTTCAAACTCAAGAAATTTGTCTTTTCATATTTTGGTTTGCATGAAGAGACAACATTTGGCCAGGGAGTGGATGGAAGCCTAGAGCAACAGCACCTTTCTGAGTCCCATGAATTCAAGCATGAAACTATGACCAGTAACGGGATTGTAACTATTGCCAACCCTAATTACCGCTCAGCCACTGACACTCATTTCAGATCAAAGCTGTTTCAAAATGAAAAGTTAAAGGGGTGCCTGAGTGGCTCAGTCGGTTGAGCATCTGATTTTGGCTCAGGTCATGATCTCTCAGTTCGAGGGTGCGAGTCCCGCATCTGGCTCTGTGTTGACAGCTCAGAGACTGGAGCCTGCTTCAGATTCTGTCTTCCTCTCTCTCTGCCCCTCCCCCATTCATTCTCTCTCTCTCTCTCTCTCTCTCTCTCTCTCTCTCTCTCTCCAAAATAAATAAACATTAAAAATTCTTAAAAAAAATGAAAAGTTAAAAAAAACAAAAACAGAAAAACCCACCTAATAGGAAAGGTGGCAAAGAAAATAGCAGGCATTTGCCAGACAATAAAAGGCATGCAACACAGAAGTCTTTTAAGCAGAGATTTTCAAACTCACCAGTATAGCAGTAAATTGCAGTTCAGCATGCTCTCCCATAATACCCTTTGTTCTTCATCATAACCCTGAGCAAGCCACTGAAAATGAAGCCATTATCACCTAGTTTTTGTAATGATGTGTAGGATTGGACAGGCTCTTCCCTACCAGGTGAGAAGCATCGTCAGTTGGCTCAACTCTTTGGAGGTTAGTTGGTCAACATCAGTTAATCTTTCACATGAGAATATCCTTTGTCCAGAGACTGTGTCTCTCAGAAGTGATCTCATAGCCGCATTCCCACAGGAAGGCAGAGAGGTGGAGCCAAGGAGGATCACTGAGGTTTCTTTTGCAAGAGTGGATAGCATGAGAGGCAAAGGGACCATTTTCTGGGTTCAGCTACAGCAGGTGGTCTTTGTAAGCCCTTGGAAAGATTGAAATCCATTCTCTGAGTCCTTAACAGAGAGATGTCCATACCTTTGATTCCAGGAAGAAAAAGCAAAGTGTTGGAACTTTGGGATCAAACCATCCTAGGTGTCTAATACAAGGTAAATGAAATGGTAAAATAAAGTACGTCTTTTTGTACTTATTACATACATGATTAATTCAGTTTGAATACACAAACACGTAAGGATTCAAAAAAGTGAATAGGCACAAGGGAAGAATCTGGAAAGCATACAAACAGCTAACAGTGTCTAGCTTTCTAGAGTGATGTTTCCAATGGCTTGCCTTCAACTTTTAATTTTATACTTGTCTGAAATTTCTAAATGTTGAAAGTGAGAAAAGCTTACATTCAAGATTATTTTTCTTAAAAATCAAGAAACCAACATATACCAGTCTGTAGTTAAGAAAAGGGTATATCAGGGGCGCCTGGGTGGCGCAGTCGGTTAAGCGTCCGACTTCAGCCAGGTCACGATCTCGCGGTCCGTGAGTTCGAGCCCCGCGTCAGGCTCTGGGCTGATGGCTCAGAGCCTGGAGCCTGTTTCCGATTCTGTGTCTCCCTCTCTCTCTCTGCCCCTCCCCTGTTCATGCTCTGTCTCTCTCTGTCCCAAAAATAAATAAACGTTGAAAAAAAAATTAAAAAAAAAAAAGGGTATATCAAAAGATGTATTTTTCTTCTAAAAATGTGCACAAGTCTATGTACATGCAAGACTTAAAGGCCTCGGACTTAATTTTTATGAAAATGTAATATTTCCAAATTCTGCTTGTCAGAAAATCCAGTTTTCTAAAGCATATTTGATGTCATATGAAGAGGCTTATGTGGTGTAAGACCTGAGAAAACAATAATAGAAGGAAGCAACTTGAATGGCAAGGATATTCTATGTGTATCATGAAGTCCAAAGCCATACCAACAGATCCCGACAGCCTGCACACATGTGCCCACACATACACAAGTATGTAATAAATGTAACATAAAGGAGCAGAATGCAATAGGTCCAACATCAGTGGCATATTTATTGAGTCCCTGTGAATTAAGAGTATCATTTTTTTGCTCAATTTACTGATTCTTTTCTAGATGCAAGTTATTCTTATCAACAATGAAGGAATATTATGTGATTTAACCAAAAAAAAAAAATTATCAGGTTGCTCATTAATAGTAAATGCTGTTGGCAAGTACCCACTGTCCAATGTTGAATCAAAAACTCATGACACCAAACTCCATGTACAGTTTGATGAGGATGGCTGTTTAGAGTGTGTGTGTGAGTATGTGTGTGTCGCATTGTGCTGAGGAATATGGGGATATAATGATGAGATGTAGACTAAATCTATTTAGCTCTTGGGAATAATTGTATATCACTTGTAATATTTAAACCAATGTACTCATCAGGCTTCTTATTAATAGTGGTTCCCTTGGGAAAGAGGGATATGGGATAAAGCGTTTCCATTTGTTCTTGACAGATTGTGTATTCTAAGAGATTTTTCGAGAATCCTCTAATATATTTGTCATTTGAGAGCCAATCGGGACAAATATGTGCAGAAGAAGTTATTGATGTAAACTGGATTTGTTGGCCATTTGAGACCTAATGTGTTTATATCTCTAACTGATCACAGAAAAGAGGATTCAGGACACCCTGTTTTGAAAATCCTTGTGTGCTTGAGTGGGCATTACTTGTGACTTCAGTGCACTTTATGTATGGCTAATGTATCTGGTAATTTTGTAAGCAGGAATGCTTAATTCTAAGAAATGCATAAAAGATGAGAGGCAGCATTAGAAATTGGGAGTATCCCAAGGAATATTTAATGATGTTTGCAAAGAACTCCAAACTATAATCGGTGAAGGAAGTGATGTTTGAACATTTGAGATACGAGGGAACTAGGATTTTAGGTTAAAAAATACATGAGCAAGATGGGAGAATGTATAGCATTATAAGTTATTCTAGTTTTGATTGGTACCATTTATTTTTGGCTTCATAATTTCTCAAAATGTTAACAGGTTGCCATCAGCAGGTGTCACGCTTAATTCCTTGGGAGACCTCTTTCTAGAATAAAATGTAAAGAAATTTCAAGCTGGGGAAAATATATGTTGATGTGGGACCATGCAGTTTATATTAGGTTATGCAGAAGATTTGTGCAAAATTGCACCCAATAGAAGTCAAATTATAATTAAGGAGAAATGTGTGTGTGTGTATGTGTGTGTGTGTGTATAAAGAGGCAATAAGCATTTTTTATAATGTATTTACTAAACTGAAGACTTGAAAATTTATATAATATTCTCAAAATGCCCAGGAATGAGGAGGAAAAATTTCTTATGTAAACCATAATGTAACATCCAATTTTAATATAAATTTATTGTGTATGAATGTAAATATAGAAGTCTGTGTATTGGGAGGAGTGGAAAGACATAATCCAAAAGGTTATCAGTGGTCATAACAAGTTTTATGGCAGTACTTTACCCTTGATCAGCAAGCACATGGTTATTTTTGAATCCTTGGCAAACATAGTTACTGAGGAAAATGGTTTTAAGACTGATCTCTTGAGAGATAAATGGTAATACGTATACACTTACACCCTCATCAGTAAAGTCCTACGAGAGCAATTGAAGGCCATTTAGTGACACGGGAAAGTGCTTGTGTTCCAAATGGTAAATGAAAGCATGAGACAAAATTCTGAGTAACCTCTGATTGGAATATATATATATTCTGCCATGCGGGGCACTGGATGGCATACAGCAATGAGAGTAGTGTGGGCCCTCCTCTTAAGGCCCCAGTCAAATGGCTGCCAACCATTCAACACATGCCTACATCTTTACCCAGAAAATGGAGACATTCCTGAGATCATTAGAGATGAGCCAGGCAAGGAAACATGGATTGATACCTAGAGAAACCCTCCTAGTTGAATTTCCAGCATTTTCTTTTTCTGTTTAGGCCAGGATCCGTGAGAACTGCCCCCAGAACTAGACAGAATTGACCTCGGGGAAAATGCTGTAGATGTAATGCTGAGTGAACCAGAACAAAACTATGAAGACTGGGCCTAGTGGAAATTGAATTCTTAAAGGAGAGGGTGCCTGATAAAGGTGGTTACTTCTGGACCTCAGTTTGATTTCTGATGAAAGCCAAAGCTAAAGTGCCTAAAGTGTGAGCAGGTTTTCTTAAACTGGGCAAGATACAAGGTAACCGTATTTTCTGGCCCCTTCGCCTCTTTTTTTTTTTTCAGACGGGATGGGCGGGAAAAGAGGGCCTGGGGGAAGGGTACCGCATATTTGTTGGCAAAACTAGTGCACTACTGCCATCCTGAGGAAGTCATTTTAAAACAACTTACGCCGTTTTTGCTTTGTTTCCGTGAGGACTTTCGGTTCAGAAAGGTCCGTTAAGTGGAGAGGCTAAGCACGCCCTGGCCGCAAATTGGACCTCTCTGGCCTGAGTTGTTGCGGGAACTCTGGCAAAGGACTCCTAACGGTACGACAAAACTGAGGTCTTGGCTTAGGAGCGGGTCAGTGAGGAGGCAGGACAGAACCAGGAAGTCCCAGCACCGGAAGTTGTGGGTGGGGCTTTGGTTTCTTCCTAGTATGGGAGACGTTAGAAGAAGCCTTTTGGAGCTCAGTGCAGGCCTTATTGTCTTCTGTCTCCTGTCCCAGCTCTTCAGAGGGTGAGGCAAGCTTGTTCACAGTGTTCTGGAGCCTTAGAATCTGGGCACCTTGTGTTAGCAGCATCGCAGTGTGCTATCGCAAACAGGGCAATTTGAGGCAGACATGTGTCCCCGCCCCCGCCCCCGCCGCCCGGGGGTCTCAGATACAACAAAAGCCGGGAACCTACTGCTTGAGCAAGGAGGAAAAGTTGAGAAGCATCGGAAGCCATCCTGCCAAGCCAAGACGACCCAAACCTTGTGCTACGGGATCAGAGGCATACACATACGGACCCCAAAATAACAAGGAAGGTTACAAAGAATTCTCTGAGCTCAGAGGCAGCAAAGGCAGTTGCTTGCTTCTGGTTTCTCACATCTCAGGCAAAGGCCTGTCAACAGGGCTCTGCTCTCATCTCAGTTCTCTTGCTGGGCTTGGGGGAGAGGGAGACTTACAGCTTTTAGTTGTCCCAGAGGATGTGGAGGTCCTTGAAGCCTAGCTATTCTCATACTTACATTTGTTCTCTGTCACTGCTTCGTAAATTCCCTACTTGAGGATGCCTGGTAAGCTTGACAGGAGAGCCCACTGAGTGGTGAACATTCTCAGACCTGTATTTCTTCCTCCCCAAGATAGCGGTGGATGTCTAGAACTTCTTGGGATTCACTCCCTGATTGAGGAACACTGTGGTGCCCTTCTTTCCTTATTACTCTGGCTCCATTGGGTCTTTTAGAGTAGTTGAAGGCGATTTTGTCTTGTGCTTGGGTGGGAGCTTCCTGTGACTGAAAATAATCATTTCTATTCCTGCTGCATTTAAACTGGTGGCAGATGGGTAAAGAAATTAAAGAGGCAATTTACAAAAGAAGAAATCCAACTGTTTATAAATGAAAAGACACTGAAATTTACTAGTGTTCAGGAAGCTGCAATGGTCAACAAATATTGTGTTTATGTGTATATCATTAATTTATAAATATATGGACGCGTATTTATATATATTTATCTATGCATACATATCTATGTTATGGACATATATGTATGCATATTAAGTTATATGTAATTTTTACTATATATAGGTATGTATATATACATGTATGTGTGAATATATGTATGTATATAGATGTATGCACACACACTATTAAATAATTCTGTTAAGTCTTTTTTTTCTCCAAGGCCTAGAGCAAAGTGTGGAACATGGCAGGAACTAGATAAGTATCTTCTGAATGAATATAGGATTGCCTACACATATTGAGAGATCTGGAATGAAAAACATCAAAGTGTGAATACGATTTACCACACTACCATATACTGCTTAGGAATGGGTGATGATGCTTTTTTTTTTTTTCTAACATTTTTTTTTTACAAGAAAGTGTGTTTTTTTTTTTTTAAATTGAACATTTACTTCAATATACTTAAAAATAGGATCCCAGGTTATTTAATATCATCAATAATAAGGCATTTTTTAAAATGCATATCTATTTTATTCTTGTCTATTTCTCTTATAGATAAATTTTAAGTTTTAAAAATTAAGTTTTGCCTTTTAAAAAAATTGTCTTCTGAAGACTCATGACATGAAAAGTTAATGATGCCAAGAGGGTATGAAATTGAAACTCAAGTTTGTCCCACATATAATCACATCTAACCCACCCATACAGATAATGTAAATGAAAAGAATACAGCAAAACAAAACTTAGCAGTACCTATATTGAGATGATATGATCACAGGTGTTCTTTAACTGCTCCCTGATAATAACTTATTTCATGGTGCCTATATTACATTTGCAATTTAGGCCAAATGTAAAGCAATTTCCAAAATAAAGGGATACAAGAAAGCTTACAAAGGGTATTACATTATATGGGAAAATACTCATGATACAATATAAGATGCAACCAAGGTAAGATTTCTAGGTAACATGGCAAGTTGAACATGGCATCTAATTTTTTATCCTGATTTCCCTCCAAAGTGGAAGCCAAGTGATTTTTCTAAAAGGTAGAAACTCACAATACAGAAAAAGTAAGAGCAGAGACAGCATCAAAAGTGTTTAGAAGCTGGCAGATGGAAAATGATCAAATTAATAGTAGACCAAAGAAAAATTAATCCTGGTACAGCAGAGGGGAAAGTAGAGAACCAACCTGATTTAAACCAAACTAGACTTTCACCGTGTTCAAATTACACCTCAGCAAACCTGACAGTACCTCTCCCAAATAAAGAGGAGGAGGAAATGGAAGAAGATGAAGAAGAGGAGGACTAAGAAAAAAGAGGAGAGAAGGAGGAAGAAGAGGAAGAAATTAGATTCCCTAATTTCCTCCCCCATTCTGTGCAGCTGGGCTACTGTGCCTCTCTACCTAAACAAAATACAGGTGATTATTTTCTAAAAAAGCTAAAATAAGTATTCTCTGGACTGAGGACCAGCACATAAAGTGGCAGGCTGGGTCACCCTACTGAAAACAGGGTAAGTGAAAATGTGCCTACTGGATGCTAATAAACATGGTCCTCTTCTTCATTTGGTTTCTAGAACACTAGCAGCAAAGCTTTTGCTTCCTAGAGGGAAGAGTTGTAAAAGCCTTCTCTGGAGAATTAAACTTCCAAGCCAGATCACTCTACAGTGAAGTCCAGAAGCACTATATAATCACTCAGAGTTTCCAAACCACATTTACATCAGTCTAGGATTGAGTGGAAAACTAAGGATTCTCAAGTATCTAAAGGGAGCCCTAACAAGAAAGATACAAACCAAAACATAGAAGAACTATCTTGGAGAAAACCAACTGAAAGGGAGAAGATAACTTTAAAAGTTAATTATTATCAGTGTCATCAGACAGGCAAGAGATAATGTTGCAGCTATGACGAAGAAAAGGCTACACTGAGAAAGACCAAAGTTACAAGGGAAAGGAACACTACAAATAAAAATAAAGTAGCAGAAATACAAAACTCAACAAAGAGGTTGGAAAAAGACTTTACTTGTAATATCAAAAATAGGAAAGAAAAAGAACTAAAAAGAAAATTGTAGTATATTGTAAATGCCATTGATTATCTGCATAATAGGAGTTCCCAGAAATTTCACAGGAACGTGGAATATGATATCCCACATTGAAAGGAGCCATCAAGTTGCCGGTGCAGTGGGTGAAAAGAGGAGGACATATTGGGAAACTTCAGAACCCTGGTAACAGAGGGAAGATCATATAACTAACATACTAATATGAAGAAACAGAATGACTTTGAAATTCTGAACATCAACCTTGGAATCTAGAATGTAGTGGAACGATGCCTTTAACATTCTGGAAAAAAAAAATATTTCCAGCTTAGAATTTTATACACAGCAAACTTTCAATGAAATGTAAGGGTAAAAATATCCTCAAATATGTAAAGTCTTAGAAATTTACTTCATGGGGCGCCTGGGTGGCTCAGTCGGTTAAGCGTCCGACTTTGGCTCAGGTCATGAACTTGTGGTCTGTGAGTTCGAGCCCCACATTGGGCTATGTGCTGACAGCTCAGAGCCTGAAACCTGCTTCGGATTCTGTGTCTCCGTCTCTCTCTGCCCTTCCCTTGCTCATGCTCTGTGTCTCTCTGTCTCTCAAAAATAAATAAACGTTAAAAAAATTTTTTTAAATTTAAAAATTTAATTCACATTGTTTTTTTAATGCTGCTGTAGCTTGTTCTTAAAAAAAAAAAAAAGATTTAGAAGCAATTAGAGGAAAATACAGATTTTATGAAACCAAAGAGCCAATAGAGAAGACATGAGAAGGGAATCCTCGGAAAGTTGATGAAAGGAGTATCAGAATGGTGGTTAAACGCCAAACACAGGGGAAACCAGAACACATTGCAAGTGGTTAGAAAATTAGGAGGTAAATTTTGCCCAGCAGATCAGATTGACATAAATACTTATTATGAGTGAAACACTTGAGAGATGTTTTAGATAAGCTTGTATACTTCTGTAGAATATGTCACAAATTTGTTATAGTCATTATGCATGTGGTGAAATAGGATTTTAAGTAATATCTGTTTTCATCATTGTATATAGGAAGTAGATAGATATTTCTTTCTTTTTTTTTTTTTTTTTTTTTTT